GGAGGTTCCCCCCCCCCCCCGCGGCCGTCGCCGCCCGGCTTGGGCCGGACGAGGTCGGCCGCTCCATGTCGGTCGTCGTGTACCCCTGGGCCACCAGGCGGCCGTCGAGCACGGTTGACCGCGGCGCGTTGCCGGCCTTCCCGCCGCCGCCCCCGGTACCGACGCCGTTCCCGTTGGCGCCCGACGGCGTGGACTGCGCCGTGGTCGACACGTTTGCCTGCTCGGCGGAAATCTTCTCCAGCTCCCCGCTCGGCCCGCCGCCGCCGACGTGAGCTCTGGCGCCCACGCCGCCGGCTGCGGCCGCACCCCCGCCCCCAACATTAGACGCGAAGATACCCGAGTCGAAGCGTCCGCGGATGGAGTCGAAGCGAGGGATAGGGAAGTGTCCCGAGCGACCGCGGTCGCGGTTGCCGTGGGTGAGCACCGCGCCGCGCAGGGTGTTGCCGCTGCCGCCCATGCCGCCGCCGGGGGACTCCGGGAAAGCCGAGGTGCCGGGGTGGCCGTCCAGGTCCAGCTGGTCCTCCGCGTGCTTCTTCTTCCTCATGCGGCGGAGCTGGGTTTTTGTTGAAAAGTTTTACATCGTACCGGTCCAATCCAAATCCCCACACACAGAAGGAAGGTTTTACGCATACAGGGGTGCACACACAAGACACACACGACACACACAAAGGCAGATGGGCAAGGAGAGGAAAGGAAAGGAGAGGAGAGGAGCGACAGCAGCCGAAGCACAAAAGCATCAGCATTAGCTTCAGTAGCGTGTTGGTGACTCCGGAAACGCCGACGTGCCGAGGACGCCGGCCATGTCGAGGTCTTCTTCATCGAGCCGCTTATTTTGGAAGCGGCGGAACTACGGTTGTTTCGTTGTCGTTTCGTTGGTGTTGGTGGTGGTGTTGTGTTTTTGGTGGTCGTGCAACAACGACGACGCCGACGACGCCGACGTGACACCCCCCGCAGCCGCCGCACGTTCGTGCGGGGGAGCAAACGGACGAGGACACGCAGCAACAACGCACACGCACACGCCGAAAAAACACCCGGGAGACACACGTGTACGCGTTAGAGACAAGGACCGATCGCGCGCGCATACGAACCCGTTTTATCTTTTTACAAGGGCCTTTCGTCGACCTATATTTTTATTCAGGTACCCACATCTGCCAGAATGTCACCAGAGACAACCGACCGGTGCGTCAAGACAACCTTTTTTTTTTGCTTCAAGACATTATATTTTTATAAATGTACCCGGGCATTTCGTTCTTTCGGAGGGGACTCTCAACAGAGCAAACATGCTGGGCAGGAAAGTCTTCGCAAAAGCGTCATCTACACGGGAGTGAGAGAAACCGGGGCGGCAAAAAAAAACGCAGCCGCCGCCCCCGCAGACGTGTCTATCGAGAACAGGGTGAAAAACGGCGAGCGAAAAAAGCAAATGGGCCAACTAATGTGCTATTGTGAGTTTTCGCGACATCGTGGTGTTGTAGTACGCGGCCGTGCAGCGGACCGTGCCGACCTTTGGCGAGACCGGGCACGCCCCCCCCCCCCCTCTCCCGTTCCCAACTGCAAGCGGCAGCAAAAAAACAACCAACCAATCAATCATTCTAGCAGCTTCGCAGCAGCAGCTACCGCTGCAGCAACCACGAGGGTTAGGCGCGACAGCAACAGCAGCAGCAGTTATGGCACTTACGAAGCGGACGATGGTCGGCCCGAAGGCGCACGACAGGCAGCACGCGATTGCGATGACTCCCGCGATCCCCACGCTGACTCCGATGATAACCCCTTCGTCGGTTCCCCCGCCCCCGCCGCTCGCGCAGTCGATGCCGAGCGTGTCCGCCACGCAGCACGGGCACAGCTCCCAGTCCGGCACGCGCGAGCTGGGGAATCGCGACAACCAGAGGTCCTTGTCCCAGAAGCAGAGCCTGCACGCCGGGATCGACCGGGCGAAGCACCCCGAGTAGTCGGCGCTGTTGCACCGGTCGTCGTAGAACAGCCCGACTCCGTCGATCTTCATGCCCGAAGACAGGGCGGTGCAGGTTGAGGTGCGGTAATCCACGTCGCTCTCCGGCGCGGGCAGGACGCAGTAGGAGTCCCCAGCGTCCGAAGTCTCCTCCGCGGTCGCGCGCGCGATTAGCTCCGCCGACTCACCGTCGCAGGCGCCGTTCAGCACCGTGAACTTGAGCCCCTCCCCTGCGATCACGTTGGGATTTTATTTTTGTTAGAAATGTCTATTTAAATTCATCATTTAGTTGGCGTGTATTTGCTGCGTGCGTGCCTTACATGCGGAGAACGCGAGCGGGTGAAATCCGCCGATAATTTCTTTGGGGTTCGTATTCTTTTTGACACTTCTATTTTCTATTCGGGTCGCATGTATCGTGATACCCCTCCATATGCTATACGTTCTGCGAGCCACCATGCCTGTGAAAAGAAATTTGTCCCTTAACCGGGGGAGTGTCATTAAAAATGGTGTCCTTAACAGAGGGAGAACAGTACTCAGGCCAACCAATTGCGGTTGCTCCTCCGTTAGCGCAACCACAAACCAGTGGGTGTCGGGGAAAGCAACCTCTCTCTCTCTCTGAATCTATGCACATCTCTGTCTGACTCTCCGCACTGACAGCGAGAGGCACAGCAGAGAGTAGTTACGATACTTCGCCCGCATGCTTGCGAGCTGCGTTTCCCCGAAATCCACATGAGCAGACGAGAGACACAGACATCTCTTGTGTCTCTTCTCTTGTCTCTTCTGCTCACCCGCGGCACCGTAGTTGTCGCAGATGCCCCATCCCATGTCGTCGGCGAAGGCCGAGGTGGCGGTGGTGTTGAACATGTACTCGCCGTCCGCTAGACACTCCTTGATCGTGGCACTGGTTTCGCGTCGATATTAACGTCGGCGTCGGAAGGGACGAAGGGACGTGGACAAAAAAAAAAGGTGTCGGTTCAGCGTGAAATCAAAATGAAACGTCTACGAGGTCTTGTCTTGGTTGGCTGCGGCGCGACGAAACTCCTCACATGCGCACACACCCCGTGTCTCCTCTTGTCATCCCATCTTCTTTCACCACCAATAACACAACGTTCAACGTCTCTCCCTCCCGCCACATTACGTTTCTTGAAGCTTTCTTCATCGCTCGTGCAAAAGCAACAGACATATACATCGTATTGACATCCGGCGGGCTTGACGTCCCAGGAGATGATACTAGTACACACCGCCAGCAAGCAGCAGCAGCAACAACAACAGCTACACCAGGTCGAAACACTTTGGGCTCCCGCGACTGACTGCCAGTCCGCTTTTCTCATCAGTCTTCTCCTCTTTTTCGCGCCCCTCCGGAAATTTTTTTCCCCGACCAACGTCGTCGTCGTTGGCGACGCACACACCTTTCGTGGTTGTCCGCGAGCGTGCCTTTGGACCAGACAGTGTCCGTCGTCAGGTCCGTAAGCTGCCACGTGTTGTAGTACCCGTCAACTCCGCCCACCCAACCGTCGCCGTACTCATCCGTCATGGAAATCTGGGTTTCGAAAACCGACAAGAGCGAGGCGCATGGGAAGTAAGAGTTTCGTTTGGTGGTTGGTGGTTGGGGGCGGGGGGCTCTTATGTTTTGCATGATGTCTTAGCGGTTAGACCGTTGACCACGCGTCTTCGAGAGGCGGTTTGTTGTTGTCTTCACATCGCCGTAGCGATTTTAGTGCATCGACTGTTGGGAATACGCATCACTTGAGAGGTAGCAGAGAGCCAGCCAGCCACCCAGGAGTTTGGTATTTTCTACAAATTGCATGACATCCCACCAGCGTTAAAATCTTGTCGGACGCACTCGCCAACGGCATCGTCCCGTCGCATCCATAAAACCGTTAAAAGCATGGAACGTGAAACGGAACCATTCTTTTGCGGTGGAAAACTGGGACATAGCTTCTGTCTCAGCACACATCCGTAGTAGCAACGATGCGGCTATTTTCTGCCTGCCTGCGGCCCCCGGGGCCCGAGTTGTGCTAAATAACGTGCACGCCCACCTATCCCCCCCCTTGTTGCCGGGCGTGGCCTTGGCGGTGTTCACACTCAACGCTCACACGTGCCTGAAGACACGAAAGAAGCAAAAAGACTATCAAGTACTATCCTCGACTGCTTATCTGATGTGGATGCACATAGAAATGGAAAAGCTGTGTCGTTTGTGTGAGAAAAATAAGGAAACAACCTTGCTTTGCAGTATTGTACGTACACCGCTGCCTCCTGACGCAAGTCATGGTAGGCTGTCTCCGTGCTCGAAGGAGGGCGATAAGATGTACATGAGAGCCGTACAAAAAGAGAGCAAGGAGAGTCATGCCCAGAACGACCGATGGGGCACTTGGGAATAATACTCGTGGGCTCCAAGGAGTCGCGAGAGCTGCTGTTGTCTCTTACGCTGCCGTACGCAACATATATTCACACACTACCCGCTCTCCCATTCTCCCACCACCGCTCCCGCTTCGGGAATCGGAACACTCGCATCTTTGGTTGAACGTACGTTGGATCATCCTACAATACACACGACACTACTGGTACACAGCAGGTATGCCGCAAACTCCGCCTCCAACCTTTACGGTCTGCAGCAATCGGGGCTGCACATGCGTATTGTTTGTGGCTTGCACAAGGCAAGAAGAGAGAGAGAGAAGTTTGACCGGCTCTTCGCAAGTTCTGTTCGGCGACCCCAGGTTTACGGTTCCGTGCCCAGGAGTTTTGTCGGGGGGGATGCAGGCTCTCTTGCTCAAGCGCCATTCGGCACAGCAGCAGCAGGGCTACAGAAGTGATGAAACGAAAGCGCCCAAGCTTTTCCTGGTGCCAGCACAATGCCACCACCCGGAACACAATATACTGTAAAGAACACAATTCAATCCTCTTGGAACAAATACTGTACGTTCTCTCAGTGTGCAGTGTACCCCCCTTTGGTCCCTTCTCCGCTGTGTCTTGTTTTGAGAAGCATATGTAGAGGTGCAGTTCTGCACACGGACAACAGTGGAAATTATCGCCCCTACTATTATAGTGTGCGCCGGCAGCAGTCCGACCCCAACACAAAATATAAAGGTTGCGCACAACGTTGCCTCCGGTAAGGTCGCGTTAAGGTCGTCAGAACGTGCCCAGAGGATGTTTTTCCACGTCCGCGGCTGCTGCTGCTGCTGCAACTCGGGGTTTGGAAATCGCACAGCAGCAGCCTCTACACGATATCCCGAACAGGTGTTGCGGACTAGCGTCGAAATCATGGACTCATTCATTGTACATAGTACTAGACATCTACTGCCTGTATGTACTAACAACAACGTACACACTCCAGCGGCCGGAGCAGCGGTGTATCGCTGCATTTCCTGCCGAACAAACGCTTGCTGTGGAAACATTTCATGCACATGCACACCAGCCTCTCGCGGGTGTGTGTGAGAGGACGGAGCAATCGGCTAGGAATCCTTCAAAGGGGGAAGGTTAAGGTTTACCCGCTGCTGTACCCTATGATGTCTCTCCTCCTCCCTGCAGCGTGTGTCTACCGTTTGTTTCGGCCACGGGGCCATCAGGCATGCTCGCATGCTCGACGACGAGCACGCAGAATCCACGTACGTATCTCACTAGATAGTCCGCCGAGTTAGTAGCGTAAAGTACGTCATACGGCAAGGCGCACCTCCTGCAACAACGGAGCTCTTCAACCAACCGACTCATCTCACAGAATAAAACAGACAGCTCACTTCCTTCCTCTCGTGCGGTGGTGGTTGCGAGAAACGGACCAAACAGAGGGGCGTCTATGCCCCATGTGCAGGTGGATTTTAGATTAAGCCGCCATCATCAGCGATCGCCACACGAAGCAGCTACGTTAAACCCTGCATCTCGTCAAGGTTCGACGATGCGTTCGGCATTTTGGCTACGTAGTATATCTCTTCGGCGTGCGTGTGCTTGATGGGCCGCATAAATGCATACCACGGAACATAAATAAGTCTTGCCCACACACGTCACAAGTAGTACAGCACAAGGCTGGAACATGGAATATATGTACGACAACAACAACAAGCAGGAACAGATTCGCAACAAATAATACAAGTACCGTCAACCGACAACGTTGAAAACGGCCTCTCATGATGTATGTATGCATGTCTCCGACAGCCCAAAAAAACAGAAAAGAATGCGTTATTTAGTTAGATAGAAAGAAATCACTGGTGGTGTGCTCGCTCTGGACAAAGAGGCGCTGCTTTGTTTTCAGCAGCACGCGCAGAGACAGAGAGAGAGAGAGAGAGAGAGAGAGAGAGGGTCTCAAACCTCAACCAAAACTACCGCACGCGGGGATGTCCCCACCCAACACACACGCACTCACCACGGCTCCGTAGGCGTTCGGCTCCTCGCACGTCTGCACCTCGCAAGTGCCGTTGAACTGGCACGAGTCGGCGTTGGTGTTGGTGGCGGTGGGGTCGATGGCCACCGAGAGGTCGACGTAGATGGTGTGCGGGGCGCTCGGCTTGGACTCTCGCTCCACCCGCACCTCGTAGGTGAGCTCCCCGTCGCCGTCTCCGTCCCCGGAGCTCCACGAGAAGTCGACGCAGACGTCGAACACGCAGGGCCTGGTGCCCTGCTCGATGAGGGTGCCGCTGCTGTCCTCGCTGTTTTTGTGTTTTTTGCATTGATGTGTGTTCAAGGGGTGTTTTTTTTTTTAGATAAAATGATATGCGAGAACAGTGTGCCGGCCCATCGTGTACGTATACAAGCACGGAGAATTTACACGAAAAACACCAACAAAGCAGAGCCGCAGTTTGGCGTGTAATCGTTGAGTGGGGGCGTGGCAGGAGTCATCTGTAGAGGTTGGTAATCTATTGGGTCGTCGTGACAACAAAGCCTGGCGCTGTCCGGCCCCATGCCCCGTCGGCAAAGGTCAGCCAGAACCGGAGCCTCTGCGGAGAAGCGGAGAAAGGATGTGCTGGCAAGCGCGTGCGAGTTTCCAGCAAACCTCTTGTCAGTCGATCTATCACACACAAGGCATGCAGCAGCAGCAGCAGCAGAAGGAGGAGGGCACTCACCAGTATATCAGCGCCCTCAGCAGCCCCGGCTCTGGCGTGGACGAGTCAAAGGGCGAGACGGTCTGTAAGCCGCAGTCGAGTTGATCCGGGGTTCCCGTGACGTGAGCCACGGCTTGTTCATAGCGGACGCACCCGTCCGCGCACGTGCCGGAAGGCACGATGTCGGTGTACGTTATGTCGTCGACCAGGCTGGCCACGAGGACCTGCTCCGCCCGGCCCCGTGGCGCGGCTGTCGCTGCTAACGCTACCGCGATCCCGAAGGCTTTGCTGATCATGATGGACAAGACCGCGCTCCCAGCTCGCTCTCTGTCGGTTGTCGCCTACTTTTCCGAACCGAAATTCACCACCGATTCTGTTTTAAAAACAGCAGCAGGAGGGTTACCGAAAACTGGTGCCGCCGCTCTTTCTCTCGCGCTCCTCGCGTCTAGGGTTGGTGAACTATCTCCGATCGGTGCTCCCAGTGTTTCACTTGCTTTTCCTGCCGGCGCGACTGCTATCTTCGCGAGAGAGGAAGAGAGAGATTGAGGAGCGTGTCGTAGAAATTAGGAACGCGGGTGTCGTTGTTGTGACAAAGACGCAAACGTACGTTTTCGGTGGTCTGGCACAAAAAAAAAAAATCCAACGTTTAAAAAATCTAGCTCGATGGATACCGGAGGAAAGATCCGTTCGACCTCCCCGAACAACCTGGAAGACCCGAAGCCCTTCGGATTGTATCTTGGACGGGACTGTCAACAAGGGTCCTGGTTCAAATTTCAAATTATTTTTCGGAACAGAACACTTTCGACAGCGCAAAGAGGATTGCCGTCCTTTGTCCTGCTCATCCACTTCCCATGCACCACATTCACCGTGAGAGAGCATCTCGGCGATAGGGTGTGCATATGCATATGACGCATCATTGTGCTGAAGTGTATTAGACAACGTTATTACCAGGTTTGTTGTTGTTTGGTTGCAGTTTGATTGGTCTTCGCTTTGGAATATCCGTGGACACCCACCTACAACTACGTACTACGCAGATGCTGCTGCTGCGGTCGTACCTGCATTCACTGCTGTAGTCTAAACTGAAGCTCTACGCACCAGTGTACATATTATAGCCGTTCGGCAAGTTCTATTCCTCAAGCGAACTCATTTTGTTCATGAGACGTGGATCCGTGGTGTACGTACATAGTCTATGATGCTAGCAGCTGCTGTAGTTGGAGCGAGGCTCTCGCGTTATTCCCCAGGTGGGGATCTTTCTGCCGGCACTCCGCCTTTCTGTATTGTACGTACTCACTCACGCGCTGGATCTTCGTTGCGCGGATAAACATATTGTACGACGCCGATCGTTGGAGAAACGTGTCGAACCGGGCCTCGACGGGTAGTATTTACGATGCAACAAGTGCAACTGGACGAGTGCTCAACGGAAAAGTGTACAACCCCAACTGATGAACGCAAGGGCGACAGCCGGTAATCCGTTCCGTGCCTGCTACACAGCAGTAGTAGCTGTTCGAAGGAGTAACCCACCCACCCCCGGTGCGATAACTCCGATAAGGAGCTAGGCCAACGGGCGGCGTTTGTTTGTACAGAGACTGGTGCCATGATATGCATAGGTGCGATAAACACACTATGCACCAGATATTTAGCAGATCTACATTCGGTACAGGATCCATAGCGCAGCACTATACGACCTACTACCTGGCAACCTGTAACTAACGCAGGTCAGTCAGGTAGAAACGGATGTCGACGGATAGAGGAGTTATACTGCTGTGCTGCGCGACAACAGCGTGGGTTCCACATGCAGCGAGTGATACCCACAAGCAGTAGTGGGTTGTATTCATGGACATGTACAATAGCCTATAGATTTATGGTAGTTTGTGACTTATCGTATATGACTAACTAAACAGACTCTGTCAAGAATCCAAAAGTTGTACCCCAACACCCATTGCAAAGATAAGATCCCTTCAACACATCCTTTCGAACGGCTCTATTTCTCGTGCTGTTGTTTTTTGCTTTACCATTGAGGAGGTATCTGCAGCAGCAGTATAGATAGTAGTCCTGACCTGACCCGTACAGGATTTCCCTAATCGATTTCTATACTACAGTTAGCGCCCGCAATTATTTTTTTTTTTTTGAAGAAATAGAGGCTCACTTTCCCACGAAAAATAAGAAGACAGGGTTAAGAAACATAGCTCAGTCTGGGTCACACAACAACAAGAAATGTCTCAATAAGAAACAGCGGCGAGCGCTGCCCTACTACATATGAAACGAGGGGTTACGGGGGGGAAGTGTGTCGAATAAGAAACACCCCACATCCAGCTCCTCCTTTCTCTCGCTCTTTTCCCCCTCTCCCACTACCCCCCCCCCCTCCCATAGTGCATTATTAGTTGTACGACGAGGGGGGAGTGAGTGTGTTTGTTTTGCGGCGCTTCCTCCGGCCCCCTGCCGGCTCTGGCGCTCTCTGGCGCTCCGGCTCTGGGACAGCACACCAGACAGACAGGCTGCGAACCACGATATACTGTCTGCTGTACGGTTTTGGTGGTGCTCTCCGCCAGCTCTCGTGAGGGCAAATCATTTGTTTAATTTGAACGTTGTGTAATGTACTAAGCAAGGAGAGGAAAGTAAGCAATTGCCGGTTTAAGAAATTCAGAAATTCAGCAGTATTTGGCGGCACGAAAAAATAAGAAACTTGACACAGAAATTGAACAACATACGCTGAGTTTATAGCCCACAATAAGAATTCGAGGCTGGACCTAATATCAGCGTTTCTTAATTGCGGTCGCTATCTGTACTCTACTCCGGAGTATACCACTCAGCTGCCGTATGGTAGGGCTAGTGTAGTTATAACCCGACGACGACACCAAGGATTGTGAGGTCCACACATGAAGGGGGGCCGTTTGATGAAGACTCACTGGTTGACAACCTCTTAGAACAACAACGCTTGACGTCCCCTTATTCTCTTTGATAGACTGAACAAAGGGGGACGAGGGTCCTCCAGCGGAGAGGGACCGTTCCTTCATTCGATAATCCTATCCCAGGTAGTTGCACTGCCTCCGCCATTACCCGTTGCCGTAGAACTATCTTTCAGACTTGTCTATGGGAGGCGAGCAAGTGTGACGGACGACGGTGGGGTACTGGGATTGATTCGATGCGTATGTCCTGGGTACCACACCCTAGTCGTGTTTGTTGACACAGCTCTTGGACACATTAAACAAATAGATGGGAAGCTTGCTCGAAGGGTGACAGGTCAATGGGTTTTGCGCAAGCCGCCGAGACGCGGGGGCTAGGAGCGTACCTATACCTACAGTACGTACAGCCTGTCGTTTTCATCACACATGCACCGCACATATATGCGCATCGTCGCCGCTCTTCGGCGCCATCCGTGGCGAATTGAAAATTGTTGGTCTTGGATCTTTCTCTATTTCATTTGCGACCGGGTGAGTGTAGATGTCATTGCCATTATCAATTTCTACGGAAGGAGAAGTATCTCACTGGCAAATGATGAGGGCGCGAAACCGGCCGCTTCCCTCTCTCAGCCGGAATCAAAAGTTTGCCTTATGTGTCAGCTGGTCGGTCGTAACAAATACCGCCTCATCAATGTACTACCCAGACCCCCAATGGCACTCTACCACTGACATCCACCACAACCAAGGTGAGATTGGTTCTTGTTGCCCTTGCCTAACTTAGTGTTTGCTCGACCTTTTCTCTGCGACATCTGCCTCCCCTTCGCTAGTTTTCCGAACAGTATGTAAATACGTGCCCGAATCTTCATCCATCTACCCTCTCCCTGCTTATGTCTTTACGGTACCTCTCCCCCAGCTGCCAGAGTCAGTCATCGCTGCCCCGGTTCTCAGCGAATGCGAGCCGGCCTGTCTCGGGTCACCACCGGCCTTCTCTACGATCTGGTGAAGGGCATTCAGGGCCACGGGACGTCCCTAAACGTTTACTTCGTTGACTGCACCGAATGGAACACAAGGGAGCGCCCTCAGGCAAACAGAGGTGGCACGTCATCACTTTCCACCAACAAGGCCACGCCCCCGCCATCGGCGCCGATCTGAGAGCGCTTGCCTCGAGCTATATACGTCTCGTACCCATGTCATGCTTGACCCCTGCTCAGACTGATCCCTCGTGCGTACTTCTGCGAGCACCAACGTCCAACTTGTCCCGCCGTTGGTAGGAGCCGTCTGAAGTGCCCCTAGTTGTCGTTATCTCCGACATCGTCCCCGGTTCTCACGTGCTACACATCATCATCCGCTTACTACATGTTTTTCGAAGTTTAGTGGGCATCCCGATCGCTCTTCGACCCGTCATGGTGCAGCATTTTGTGTGGCTTCTTCCAAGGTGTTGTTCGGCCCCGGTTCGAACGCCACTGGCGCAGGTCCTACGGGCTGCTGTGTGATGAAAGTACCCGGGATATCGTCAGGACAAGCGTCGCATACTATGCCTTCTGCCCAGGATGCCCAGGATACTTCGGACGAAGCTTCAGTAACGTATTATCCGACCGTGTGAGCGGCGGCGATAAAGCAAAGCTGTTCCTCTCAGCTTCCTTGTACTGGTCCTACGAACATCTATGTATCTGTGGAACATGATGCTGTCACTCACATGATTCTTTCATGCATGTATAGACGCCTTTCATACGCGCTGCTGGCTGCTTCAGGAAATAAAAAGTTACATGATGACCGCCTGACCCCGCCGCGTTGATGTGCCTGCTGACGTACTGTAGCCGCACCTCATGCTAATCGCTGTTATGTATCTATTGCATATTGCTTGTAGAAGCAATCCAAGCGAAAGAAAGGTGGGCAGGTCTCTAACTCATTGTCTGCATTGTAACCTCCTCATTGACGCCGAGGTTGTGCATGTATGCACTTAGACTCTACTACATCAAAAAATACAGCAGTGTACCTACATACCATGGTACAGAGTAGTTTTTTCGTCAAAAATGTGCCATACTTTCACAATCAATCGAGAATTGGCTTCTTCGTGTTGGAACTGAAATGGTGCGTACATGCATGTACCCGTCGTCCAAGACAAGGTTGGTACGTACATGAGACATGTGGTTATTGCACCCGCTGGAATCTTGTACATGCATGTCAACATCCACAATAATTGAATGTTCTTGCATTGTGACGTGAGTGAAAGAGAAAAATACATGAGACCTGCCAACATTGGCCTGCTGAAGCCTGCCTGGGGGGATCAACGTGCGGAAGCAGGGAGTAAAATGTTGTACCTTGTGCAATACGCACGTGTGTGTGTGTTTTTTTGCTTCTTCCATGAAGGGTTTCCTTCTGCACCTTTCCAGCATAACATGCAGAGAGATACACAAGACGGCTACCAAACTGTCTTGTTGAGCCTGTTACCCACAGGGGAGATGTCGCTGCGTGCTGCTCGGGATATTTTGGAAATAAATGCAGGTAGCCTTCCTCTGACGCTATGGATTCATTGCTAATCTAAATAAAAAAACGTTATCTAACGACGGTAGCGCAGAATCAGAAGTGCCAGACATCCCCTTGCAACGTTCTTGAACCTTCAGTCATGCACAAAGACCAAACAAACTCAGAGATCAATCCGATAACCAACGGGCGCGGTGCATCTATAATCTGTGGGTGTGTGTGTCCGAACTCTGTGGCGTGGCATTTCGCCATTTCGCCGACACCTTCTTTCTTTCGCAGATACAACAATTTTGGCGGAGGCGCATCGCACTGCTGTGTGTTGGGTTAGAGAGGGCAAGATGACGACGCCACCCGCACCGCTTTATCAACGCTTGTTGATGCTATGCATACAAGGGATCTGCGATGCTCATCCGGGGATCCGGGGCAGTGGGGCAGATCTCCGATCTCCGACATCTACGCTCCTGCCCAACCCCCCCCGCCCACGGCCTGCATGTCGCATCTGTGATGCCCCCATGTTCTCGGGTAGTGGGAGGCCGCTGCGGCCTGTTGCGTGGCCTCTTTCACGCTTACCGCGGATAAACGAGCCCGAACAAACCATACGCGGGGCTGGATGGAGGGCATCCAGCTGACAGCGCTCGCGCTACTCGTGCTATTTGGAGCCAATTGGGTGAGCGAACTGAGGTGGTGTATTTTGGTCCCCCGCTCTCTCTCTCTTTTCTCCCAAGCATTTCTCTCTTGGTTCCCTCGAATCCTCGAATCTAAACCCGCTCCTGTGTTCCGAGATGCCCTCGTGACTGAGAGCTCCCTCTCCTGGTAGCACTTTAATTCTCCCCAGCGGTAGGATAACATTGGATGGGTGCAGCTTTTCCGCTGCACGCTGGCGAGGATGATACAGCAGTCACGTAATAAGTTTGGTGCAATATCCTCGCGTGTGTGGCAGCACACGGCCGACAACCATTAAAGAGGACCTATTCTGTACTCTCGACTTGTACGCAAACAACCGGCAGGGGGACGGCTCCGGTTGTGTGTGTGACTGCTATTCATTGGTGTGCCGGCGACATAGCTCCACCTTGTTCCCTCTAGCGGCAGGATAGCATCCGATGGGCGTCCCCTTTTCGCTGCACACTGCCGAGTACATGGAGTCGCACAGCACACAGAACGAGGGAACGAAAGAAGAAAACATTCACACAAACATCACCGCACACTTCACACTTCACACACACACCCCGTCGGTGTACCCCCAGACAGCAGACAGCAGCAGCGTTTCGAGTTGTTCTTTTGAGGGCTGCAGATGTCTGTCCGGGCTAGCGCGGTCGACACTCGTTCACCGCAGAGATACAGACACCGACCTAGGTGGACTCTGCTTTCTGTAGCTGATTCGAATATTTGAAGTTCCGATGCATGTCTAGGCTTTTCCCCCGTAGGCGACCGCCGAAAACACCGAATTCCGAAATATGTCGCCGTCAAAAAAGACTGCCCGCCTAAAAAAAAACTGTCGCCGAAAACCAAAACTGCCGTTTTGGGAGGGGGCTCCGCCGAATCATGGGTTGAGGTCGCCGATTCTCGCCGATTAATTTCACGGTGCCGATTAATTTCGAAGATGCCAACAGCGGCGGCGGCGGTAGCGACCAGAGCGATGGCAGCGATGAAGAAAGCGACTGATGACCTGTGTTTCAGTTACATAGTTTCGTGTAGATGTCTTACTTCTTCGTAGTTGGTGGGTCAGTACCTCTGTCCAGATTTGCATGTTTTTGCCCGGACGTAGGCGTGCATGCCATGTGTAACGTCGAAGTATCGAAGCATCATAGTATTCCATTTCGGTGTTGATTTGTTTGATAGCTGAGGGCTCGGAATATTGCATGTACACACCAGCGTAACATGCAAGATGTAGTTTGTAGAAAAATAAGAGAAGGACGAAGGACACATCATTTCGCTTTTCGCGGACAGGTGACAGGTGACCTCCGCAGCAGTCCAACCGCGTCGCGACCCACTCGTTTGTGTTACGGAAGTATATGCTATGTACGTCGCCGACAATCGCCAACAATCACCGAAACTGAACTATGACTCGCCGAAAAACATGTGGAAGTCGCCGAAAGTCGCCGAAAAAGGCGTTTTTGGCACTAAAAAAAAGAGCCAAAAAATTCCGTGAAACGCCGCAAAAAAAAAAAACATCGCCGACGGGGGAAAAGCCTAATGTCTTCGTTTTCATTTTTTCATTTTTTGGTTTTTCCTGCCGCACACGATCAATGCACCGCTATATGCTATATATGCATACAGCAGTAGTGCGTACACAGTGTATAGACTTAAAAAGACTCGAAATAAGTCCAGTACCCAGCCGGTTTCCCTCCACTCACTGAAAAGACTCCACCACATCCCGTTCGACTGTGGGTATATCTCGAATGGGTAATCTTTCTATGTGTGTTTTTATTATTCCTTAATTTAAACTCTTTTGTCGTGCTTTTCCCGCAACTCTCGTGGTGCCTTGTACCACATTTATGTATCCCCCCATGTCTTGTATTCCATGTCTTGCCGTATTTTCCTCGTGTCTTGTACATGGCATGTCGTATTTATCTCAAGTCTGGTACTACCTACCTAACGTACATATCATGCCGTACTTATCCCATGTCTTGCAGGTCCTCTACGGCTGCCTGTGGCTTCACGAGCGCTACTCCAGCCGGACCGCCTCCGCGTCGGAAGACGCGAAGCAGCTCCCCGATGCCTCAGCTTCTGGCTCCGCCGCCGCCGTGCCCGCGGGCGGCGGCGACGCTTCAGCGGCGGCGCCGGTAGCGGCGGCCGGAGGGGGTCACGGGAAGAAGGTTCTCTCGGAACCGCTGTCGCGGACGCTGACGTCGGTGCGGGCGTTCTCGTGGGAGCTGTCGCGCCTGGGCGTTCTCATCACGTTCGCGTACATGTGTGAGCACCACCCGCCGTTCGCTCACGGCGAGAAGGTGCGGCTGCTTTCGCAGGGTAGGGTCTTCTATGAAGCAAGCATGTTTGAATAAAGCTTACAATCGGGGGAAGTTGGGTACCAGTAGCCTTCGCAGCTTTTTTTTTTTTTATCACTTACGCAAGCGTGTTGGGTGAAACATGCAGTCGCCGAAGTTGGGGTCCCAGCAGCCTTCGCCGTACTTTTCTGTGAAGTGCACGTGTTGAGTAAAGCATGCAGTCGGGGAAATTGGGGTATGGATAGGGTCTACGTACCTCCCTGTTCTGTTTGCTCGTAAAACTTCATTTCTAGGGAAACCGGTCGCGTGGCTGGGGCAAGAGCGGCGGACCGCCTTGCCGAGAGTTCTAGAATGTTACCGTGAAAACAGAGAGAGGGGGGGGGTTCGTATCCCCTGCCCTATCCCCGTACCCCCTACTAAAACCAATATTATTATCCTCGCGAAGGGGGTGTGTGTGTTTTGTTTTGTTTTTTGCGGATTGTGCGACAGGAGCAGCCCCTCGAAGGCTACTGGGAGCGGCGGCGGTGGTGCTGCTGCTGTTCGTTCGTGGGTGGGTGTGGTTGATGGCCCGCGGGCATCAGGCGGTGCCCTCAACAGTCTCACCCGAACCTTGCTCCCTTCGCGGGGCTTTGTTTCTTCTTTTTTTTTTTTGGATGGCAGGCCCACGACATGGACATGTTCTGGTGCGTGGCGCTGATGCTGCTGGTGTCGTCGGCGCTGAACGTGCGCAAGTCGAAGGGCGGGGACGTGCTCAACAGGGAGCAGACCGAGGAGTGGAAGGGGTGGATGCAGTTCATGTTCCTCATGTACCACTATTTCTCCGCCCACGAGGTGCTTCTACCCAACCGACCTAAATGGAAGTACTTCTTTACTGCAGCAGATGTCGCTTGCGAGAGAGTTCTGTCTTATGCGTGTGTACCGCTAGATCTCCGCTCGCAAGGTATGTACCTCTTGCGGTGCTACTCTACTGACGCAAAGCCCTATTTAGTCAGCGAGGGCACCAGTTCGGGTTAGAGAAGCGCGCCTCGATTTTGATTTTCCGCTGGGGTTTCATGAAGTGATGGCATTGCCCGGTGTGTCCCCGTCCCTCGCGAAGCATGCGAAGAGCAACCACCTGTTTCTGCTGGTCTTTCTCCGAAGACGTGGCGTGCGGGGGTGTTCCACCTCATGATGGCGTTTTTTTCTATTGATACTCCATGGCTCCTTTTGATGCTTGCAGGTTTACAACTCCATCCGCGTGTTCATCACGGCGTACGTTTGGATGACCGGCTTCGGCAACTTCAGCTTTTTCTACCTCAAGGTGGGTCATGCGGCGGTCAAGACCCCTCCGCCAGCGTGTACTACGGCCTCACACGGTGGCTACCATCGCGTTTCGAAACTGTGCACTTCGGGAATTTTCTTGTTTTGTGCGTGAGGTGTCGCTGTCTAGTTGCACTCTTTCTTGTCTTGAGTTTGTGCAGGGAGGTTTTCAGCCGTTGTGTGCTTAACGCCATACTGGTCTTGCCCGCTCTTTTTACTGTGCTTGACAACGGTGTAACCTCCCCAGCCCCCGTGAATACAGAACCTGCTCGTGTGTTTGCGCGCGCCTTGTTCGCACCCTTTGGTTCCTCGCCTCTTTGCTGGTGTCACAACCCGGCCCTTGTTGTTGATCAGCGTGCTTGTCCAATCTCACCCCTATCCCCCAATTTGTTGCAATCGGCGTGTTTGTTCGGGACAGGGCGACTACGGGGCCGTCCGCCTCCTCCAGATGCTGTGGCGGCTCAACTTCCTCGTGATCCTGCTGTGCATGGCCATGGGCAACACGTACATCCTGTACTACATCTGCCCCCTGCACACCTTCTACTTCTTCGTCGTGTACGCCATCATGTCGCCCGCCAAGTCGGCCAACTACACCAAGAACGGCATGCGCTGGAAGCTGCTCGTAGCCGGGTCGATCATCTTCTGCGTGTGGGATTGGGACCTCCACATTTTCGAAAAGGTGTGTGTGTGTGTGTGTGTGTGTGTGTTTAGTTTTGTTTCATTTGTATTTCGTTTTTATTTGTTTGTTTATTTATTTCTTACGACAAAAACAACAAACACATATCTTCCACAGGCAAGCGTCCGTGGTAGACTAGCAATTTGTCTATAGTGCTGTACGGCGATTATGTGCATGCGTGTATCTGATGATGTCTGTGGTTTTCGTGAGATATTCAGACTGTTTGTGTGTGTGTTTTCGATTTTCGTACATATTTTCTCCGTCCTGGCATTGTAGGGAATGCGACGCCTCACCTCTCCGGCAGGCGTTTACATGTGTACCCCCCGCCCCTCGGTGCTGCAGATTTTCTTTTTCCTGGGGCGTGAGAAGGTCGTAGGCGCCGGTAACGGCACCATGTGGGAGTGGTACTTCCGTACGTCCCTCGACCACTGGTCGACCTTCCTGGGCATGATCTTCGCGCTCAACTACCCCGCCACGGCCCAGTGGGTGAAGAAGATCGAGTCCCTGCCGTTCGGGCGGCAGTGGGCCATCAAGGGCTCGGTGGCCGCTGTCCTGCTGTCGGCCACCGCCTGGTGGGCTGCGAACATTCTCCCGGTAAGCACCTGTTTGTGTGTGTTATTAATTAGCATCGACCGCGCTAACCGGCTGACCAATGAAAATACGTCAGTCTCAGTGTGTGTGTGTTGTTAGCATCGACCGCGCTAATCGGCTGACCAATGAAAAGACGTCAGTCTCAGGGCGGTTGAAAATACAAAGTGCTTCTAAAGGCCACGATCTCTGTGTGTGTGTGTGTGTGTGTTTGTTTGTGGTGACATGCATACGAAGAGCGAGTTTTGGCCGTCATTATCCCTAACGTGTTGTGGTCTTGACGCCTGTGGTGCTCCTTAATTGCACAAAAGCCCCCCCCTCCCTCCAATGCACACACATGCGTGGCCCCCGTGCTGTGCGGGCGCGGACGACCAGAAAACTTTTCGGGTGTTGTGTTCCGTTAGAAGACTGGCATCTCTTCATTGGTCGGGCGACTAGCGCCGATCGATGCTTGTAGTAAAGACACACACAACACACAATCATTGAACCGACACCGAAGGGGTGGGTGGCTTTGACGGCCAGGGTTCGGAACGTGTGTATCGCTGCTACACAGTCCTGCCTGCTCCCGAGCCCCTATTCCTTGCCGTCCGCATAGTTGTGTCACCGACCCTATATCGACCAACTTGAGAATCTCGTGTACAGTCTGCAGTCCCCTCCCCCCCCCCCCCGAGCGCTTTGCCATCGACCCTGTATGGACCAAGTCCCAGCTCGAGAAGCTCGTGTACAATCTGCCCAACATCGACCCTGCTGTATGGACCGAAATCCCCGCTCGAGAAGCTCGTGTACAATCTACCGTCCGCCCCCGCCTTTGCCATCGACCAAAATCCCAGCTCGAGAAGCTGGTGTACAACCAGAAGAACGCCTACTTCGGGGTGGCGATCCCGGTGCTGACCTACATCTACGTCCGCAACCTGACGCCCCTGATGCGCACGCGCTACCTGGAGCCGCTGCACTCGCTCGGCAAGATCACCCTGGAGACTTACCTCATGCAGCACCACATCTGGCTCACCAGCAATGCCAAGACCCTCCTGGTAGTGGTCCCCGGAAGCCCCAAGCTCAACATGGTGATCGTCACGGTTTGCTACGTGTTGGTGAGCCGCGAGCTCTACCGGCTGACCATGTCCCTCCGCGGCATGTGTCTCCCCGACGAGCTCTCGGCGTGCCTGCGGAACCTGGCGGGCATCGCGTGCACCGTCGCCGCCTGCGTGGCCGTGGCGAAGGTGATGAAAACGCTTTGCCTTATATATTTATTTTTAGCCGCGGTGGCATGGTGGAACCGCTCTTGTTGTTGTTGTTGTTGTTGTTGTTGTTTTTGCTGTGGGTGTTGTCGTTGATGCGTTCCTCATTCTTTGCGCATTGCTAGGGACGTTGTTGTTGGTAATGATGTTGTTGCTGCTGTAGTTGTTGATGCGTTCCTCCGGACAAGCTCTGCGTATCCTAGCTAACTGCTGTTGTTGTTGTTGATGTCGTTTGCTGTTGGTTGCTGTTGTTGTTGTTGATGCGTTCCTCCCAACATTCTCTTCGCATGCCTAGGGACGTTGTTGCCGTTCTTGTGGATGATGTTGTCTGTTGCTGTTGTTGTAGTTGTTGTTGATGCTTTCCTCCCGACATTCTCTGCGCATGCCCGGAGCAGCCGCGGCTTCTGTTGTCATTGTCGTCGTGGTGTGATGATGTCGTCGTCGTCGTCGTTGTTGTTGATGTCGTCGTCGTTGTGTGATGATGCTGTCGATGCGTTTCCCTGCAGGCCTGAAGCAGCGGTGAGGAACCACGGCCCAGGTTGACGCTACCGCGGCATTTGCTGTTGTTGCTTCCTGACCCCCCCCCGCCCCGCCCCGCCCCGGCAACGGTAACGACAATGACAACGACGAAAACGAACAGGCGCTCCTGGTGGCCGGAGCCGGCCCTGCCGCCTGCGCGTGCATAATCGGAGCCATCGGGTTTGGCCTGGTCTTCGCCGTGCACAAGCTGCTGCTTGACGCCGGCAGCGGCGGCGGCGGCGGTGACCTCAGCATCGGGAACGGGGTCGGGAGCGGCGAGGAGGTTTCCGCCTCGGCGAGCAGACCGGCGTCGTACGACGGGAAGCTACTGAACGCCTGCAACGTGGTGAGTGAGAGGGAGGGGCTGCTTGCTGTCTTTGGGGGGGTACTCATAGCCGTGCATGCCGTTGTCGTTAGACCATTGTCCTCACATCCCTATAAAACCGGGACGGAGCATGCTGTCTTGGGGGGGTTGGGGAGGACTTGTGCTTTGGGACTTTTGACGTGTGCGTGCGAAGGTGGTTGGGTACATGTTGCACCTTTGCCCGAAGGGAATGAAGTGGCGGTTTCACAATCCAGTCCTCTACTCCGCTGTTTCCGCGCCCCGGTTGCTTTTATTTTGGCATCGAAGAGTGCGTGGCGCGTGCACTGTGACTGTACCAAACGCCCCCCCCCCCCCCCCCCCCCCATTTCC